ATGGGAAAAAAATGGGTTAAAACCTCGGTTAAGTTACGAGGATAGTCAAAAATAGCAGTTGTTTGAGAGAGGGGGAAATTCCAAAAAACGGCATGTTGCTTGTCGTCTTGTAATTCTCTGTCGGGATGCGCCACTCATTTCAATAACAGCTAGTACTTGAAGCTTTAATATGAGTGCTTAGCCTATTCGTTGATATCAAATCGCTGGTTTCCTCCCCTAAATTTGGTTCATTGCCATAAATGGAACCACATGTTGCAAAGTCGAATTCACTACCGATGCAGTGATTCCTTCTTCAAATCGTTCTGATGGATTATAACGCGTTCAGCCCAAATGAAATGGGAATTAGGTGTTGAAAAACGGCTCTTAACCATAAATAGTAAACATAGTTGATAAACAGGTAGGGTTGTTCCCTTTTTTGGCAAACGCCAGAAATTCCCTCTCCTTGAGCCAGTTCATGCCATTTCAGACCTTAAAAAGGACCTTCAAATCGACCACTGACAAGGAACATTTGAGATTTTCAAAAAGTTCTTTGTCGAGTCTGTCAGTCAGGGGCTTCATAGCACAGCGATCGATGCTACTTGCTATTCGTCGGTCACCTCTTTCTTCTCCCACTCAGTTATCCTATTGCTGATATTGTCTCCTACACTAATTATAGGTGTTGATTTAAGTTTACTCTATTAATCAACCTTTTTCTGGCTACAATGGGCGTTGTTGTTGTGTTACAATCCACTGAGCAATGATATGAAATCGCCCACAGCAGTTCCCCGCAGACAGAACTTTTTATGGGATTTTTTCGCTCTGGTAAAGATCAGAATCTGCTCGAGACTACCCACGAATCAAAGAAAAACCTAGGTGGAACTGATTTTTTTCTGACTTTCACTTCCGGATTGTTTCTTAACATCGATGCGATGATTGTGGTTTACAACGTTTCTGTTGCACCCATTTATTACGTTTTCAACATTAACATCCGTTCACGTGAACTCGTCCATTTTTCATCTTTTCAATCAGTTTTTACATTGTTTTGTTTTTTCAAAACCGATTGATTTTCTTTTTTTTCTACTTTGTATTATTCTCGAACCTTTTTTTGCAGCCGCTGATTAATCTGCTTTTCATAGTTAGGCTCTTCCATTTTTCCTAAAGGGCTATGCTTTGATATCTCCCCTGACCCAGAGCAACACTGGAAAGCTATTTTGCGTGGGCCAGCCCTGTTCAGGGGACAGGGCCATTAGTTTTGTTCCATAAATTTTTATGAGGATCTACTATACTGTGCGTACTTGATCGTCCATTTTTTTTACATCCCGATGAGTCATTGGGCAGCCACAGAAGGATTCGTCAGCGCCAGACTTTCAATTCCATACTTCTACCCACATGACGCTATCTCATTGGGGATGGCTTTACTCAAGTACTATTTACTATACTGTTCTCAATTTGACAGCATGTCTCTTTCCAAATCCCGATCGTTTCAATTCGAAAGTGAGCTCTCATAGCAGAACCAATTGTGTGGATTGGATGGCATTCGAATAATCTCCCATTTTGTTGTAAACTTGAGTCATAATGACCACGAGGATCGTCTCTAGTAAGCCACAAATTTCGCTTCTGGTCAAGCTGAAGAGTAGGAACTGATGAGGCGATAGATTGGAACTTTATTGGCCTCATTCAAGGCTTTTAGCGATTGCATTGAGTTTTTGCTTTTTCGTGATTTATTATTGATGTAATCCCATCCATGACTACAACACAGAAAAGGGTGGTCTTGCAATGAGGTTCTTCAGGGATGAGCTATTGGGCCAGAGGTACAAAATTAATTTGCGCTGTATATTAATAAAGACTAAATGCTGCCATGCCAAAATTCGAGGCTGGTACTGTATCGGATTCGGGAGCGAGCCCATTTCCTCCTCAGGGTTGCCGCTTTTGGAATGCTCATGCATGAGCTCAGGGCGGACATGCTTATCGGGGAGTGGATAAAAATGGGCGCAATAAATCGGTCACGACAAGTGTTTATGCTCGTTTATTGAACCAACGGCGATTTATGAACACGAGACTGGCTGGATATGAGCCGTCATAAGGCGTCTCAATTAGTAACCCTCGATTTATACTTGAATGAAGTAGTAAAGTGATGCGATTCTTCAAAGTTTGCCAACGGCTTGAATTCTTTTTATGGCTATATATGGCCATAAAAAGTTTTCTTTGCACCATATCTGCTTGATCTTGGCGATTACGGGGATTGGCGTTTTCCGGTTCTCTATTCAGCCCTTTTTTCTTGAATTACGGTCCGATTCGGCTATTCATGGTTGATCTCACATTCCTTGTATTATTGTTTGGATTTTTTNTTTTTTCTCCAATTGACTATTGTGATAGGAGGGAGGGTATGATAGCAGGAAGGGGTCACCTAACTGATCTGCAAGTCGATCGCCAGTCGATTACTCACCCCTATCAGCTCCATAATCACTGGGACATTTTCTGTTTAGAAGCAAATGTGTTGTATGGGAAGCCGACGAAAGCCACCTCTCAGTGAAGGATGGTCTTAAAATAGGCTCTCTCAAGGCTTCACTGGAAACTACTGACTCTCCCAAAAGGCCTACCTAAAAGTTCGCCGTAGAGTAGGAGGTAGGAGGATTATTTTGTCGATTTTCCATTGGATTCGATCCGTAGGACCTAACTGTTAAGGCAATTGAATTATGAGGACGAGTTTCTCTGTGAGTATGACCGCTTTCTTTTGGTTTTCGTTTACCCTTCTGTTTTTCTTTCCTCCGCTTTTCACTATATGATTTTTCGATGATTTTGCGTTCACACCGATTCTGCACCATCTCATTCCTCTCTGTGATGCCCTATGTGTGCGTGTTATGCACTGCCGTCACTTCTGACATTCCTGACCTCTGTCGTTATCGGCTTTGTCGCTGTCTTATCAGTTACGTCGAATGCCTCAGAAGTCGATTTTTTTCCCTTTACAGATGGATCCTTTATTGAACGGGTCATATGTACATTACGGTATGGGATTGCCCACCTCTGCGTACGCCGCCGCCGCAGGACTCTCCTCACAAGCTTATAATAGGTAAGTACAATATGTTACTCCTGTAGTATGGAATGTTTGCCTCTCAAAGGGGAGCATGTGGGTAGCCAAGCATGCTCTTTCTATTGGATTTCACTCGATTTTTACCTGATAATCAGTTGTTTGTAATGCGATTTCGATGAGCGATGCTTTGATTCCCAAATTTCATCGGAGGTTAGAATCGGGAAACTTGTCAACAGACAAGGTACTCCAGTAAGGTTCCACAGAGTTTGACTTTTCTTCCTGGAGTGGAAATCGCTATGTTCAAAACCGAGCCCATAAAATTAGCTTTGGTATCGGGTCGGGTGACAATTCTATGGTGGCCCTGTTAAGATGAGGGCAACAGGTGCTTCAGAAGGAGCTTGAGATCTGGGTATCCCCTTGAATTCTGAACGCGGAATAGGAGTGCATTAAGTTCAAAAGTAGTTGAGAAATTCGAGTAAATAAAACAATCAACATCAAGTAGACTAACATTGGCAGGGACGTTGACGAAGCCAAAACGGCTCTGGGGATGGGTCACATACCGAAAATGCTCTGAAAAGTGGAAATATTGCAATGGCCTATAACGGTGCCTTGTGTGCTCATCGATTTTGCATCGGTTTCCCATCTGTCGATCATCTATGACCCTAAGGAACAATGGTTGATATGGGAGTCCAGGAATAGTTCGATACCAGCGCCCTTCATCACTCTGAAACAGCAACCCAATCGAATTTCCTATCTCTCGTAACAACTCCGGGGAGCACATACCAGTCCTCCGGAATGTTTTGGTATTAGCCATGCACGTACCGGTCCCCCGAGTTTGGGCGTTTGCCTTCAGCCCACTGCAATGCCGTCGATGCTTTTATCTGGCTTCCTGCACACCCTTCTCGGAAAATAGTTTGACTTTATTGAATCTTTACTAATAGTCAAATATGTATTGAATTTATTTGAAGCTCTCGGATGCACTTCGATCGAGGCTCTTATGAAGCGTCAAACTTAAAAAGATCAGGGAGAATATACTCGACCCATCTATCCCCNCCCCCCCCCCCCCCCCCCCCCCCCCCCTCTGGGTTAGAAGGCACCCATTATGTAGAACGCTTAGGGGTCAACCTGCACCCGTTCTAAGAATTTTGAGCGCAAACTTCTTTTCATTTTTTCATCCTCATCTTTCTGTGGCTAACTTCCCATTGGATCAACGCCTTACCATCCAAAATTCGTTGTTTCGCAGCTTTCTATCGCTTCATCTTAGAATTTGTGGCGTAGCTGCGGTTATGGCGCAATCCATTTGCGCGAGAAATTTCTAAGCGGGTTCCGAACGCGAATCCGATGAATCGAGAACGATGTCGAGCGCTTGAGGCAACTTTTATGCATTTGGNCAACGCCTTACCATCCAAAATTCGTTGTTTCGCAGCTTTCTATCGCTTCATCTTAGAATTTGTGGCGTAGGTGCGGTTATGGCGCAATCCAGTTGCGCGAGAAATTTCTAAGCGGGTTCCGAACGCGAATCCGATGAATCGAGAACGATGTCGAACGCTTGAGGCAACTTTTATGCATTTGGACTCATAATTAAAGACCATTAGGGAAATGTGACATCTTTGTGATTGCAGCAACTCGTCCGAACACTCTGCCGATCCGTCGTCATCGAGTTCACCGGGCGCTGCACCGAACATGAACCTTTTGCTCACTATTCGACTGCTCATGCAAGGGAAGGTCAGTACTGCCGTTGCACCCCTACGTAGTGGTCGTATCGCAGACAGAATTGATCATTTGCAGGAAGTCGGTAGCATAATTGGTAAACGAGGCGATCAAATCAAGAGAATTCGGGAAGATTCCGGTGCAAAAATCAACATATCGGATGGGTCATGTCCGGAACGGATAGTGACTATCACAGGAAGTTTGGCCACCATCAACAAGGCTTTTGCAATGATCTCTAATAAATTTGAAGAGGTAAGTTATTAAACTAATAATGAGTTGTTCTCAATTCACATGAGCATCCACTTCCAGCTCACCGTGGGAAAGTCATCTGAACTACCGATATTCATTCTCGGATTCCCACGGGCGCGCACATGCACGCGGCAATTTTTGATTGTAGTTTCGCACTATACAACAACAATAACCATGTTCATCTATAGGAAGCGCGCTTCAAATCTGACCTATACATTTGTTCCCCTCTTCACGTTGCCCTCCTGCAGGGTAGCAGGGGGGGGGGGGGGGGGGGGGGGGCACAATCCACGTACCCTGTCTGACCACATCCCATAAAACTGATGTACCATCTTTTGGAGTAAAGATGTTATAAGAAGGAGGAGAACTTGATCGATTTCAAGGAGTTCCGATTGATCTCGTCTCTTGATCTCAGACTGCAATCTCCCCTATTGCTCCGTGAGTGACATGGGAAATATCTTTCGGGGCCTAAGCGCTTTTTAGGCGTAATTCAATTTAAAGATCTACTAATTGGTTGTCAATTCGGTTCAGTCGCCGATTTCATAGATATTTCGGCAGAGTCTTATCCGCCGATTGAGAGGGGCTCGGATTTCGAGTATTCATTCGCAGAGAAGGATCGAATGTCAACACCTTCTGCCCGAAACAGCTTCGATCGCAACGGCGACCGCTACGGGAGGGTCCAAAAAATCACCATCAGACGCGCAGATAAACTTCAACATAAACACACTTTCGTGGCCAGCTGGTCATGCTCTCCCCTCACTCGGAATAAACTAGCGGAGCCGATAAAAACGAAGCGTCGGAGAACGATAGTGGTGGGACTAGTACTAAAGAAGGCTCCAGTCCGGAATTTAGCTAACTCCACTAAGCGGAGCAGTAGCGAGAATATATGCCGTTCAGGATTAGTGGACCGGCTTTAATATCTTACAAAGCCTGTTCTTGATTTTTCTATAGAGGCTCTTCAAAAATCAAGGGTTCGAATGGGTATATTATTCGTAATTCTAAAGGGTAGCCGCCTTACCCGTTGAATCAATTCCCTACTTGAGGTAGCTTGACCATCGATGACAGGGCACAGGAAAACCAACTCGAGTTTGAAATTTCATTCAAAAGGGTCCATTTGTGAGGTGTTTTCAGTGATTTCAAAAAGGTTCTCTAAAGAATTCTTTTAGGATATGCGTGCTTTGCCGAATTCCGTTCCTAAGCCACCGATCACAATGCGGTTGATCGTCCCAGCGACACAATGCGGTTCACTTATAGGAAAAAGCGGTTCGAAAATCAAAGAAATTCGAGAGGTGAGCTTTTCAGCTAGAAGTTTTTCCCAAAGCCCTTATTTTCCCAATTACTTTGAAAGCCCGTAAATCTGGGAAATGGTTCAAGTTTCATGGTGATTTTCTTGATGGCTTGAAGGAAAATCAGTGAGAAAGTGCTTTTGGAAATCCGAGCTGGCTGACCGGGTCCGGCAATCCCAAACAGTGGTGGACATCGTCGGGGCGTTTTCTCCTGGTCACGTCCTTGAATAGAAATCATCTAACTATCGGTCTCAGAAGTGTTCTAGTATGGCTAGCGCTCACAAGCCTTTCTTATGGAGAAATAAACAGCTTCAAGAGTCACTGGAAGAAAATATTCAAAGGAAAGTTTAGTTGCCAAAGGCAATCTGATCAGCCTCGCATCGACCACCTTTTGAATCGGAGTTTACCCATATCAAAAACTCCCCCGGGCTGTAAATCAGTGATTCTGGTTTCTCCTCTTTCAAAAGTTGGTGAATGTGAATAGCTTGGGTCAAGAGGTCTGCTGTTACACTTTGGTCATGACATTTTTCGTATTCTTCCCTTCAAGGTTTTTCTTGGCCAACTGTCACCTGACGCCCTTTCTTCCCAGAAAACCTGGACCACTGAATTCGGAATCGTTTGTTCTTGGCGTTTTTCTTTTGCTGGCAACGCGCATGATTGAAGTAGTGATGACAAGAGCTCAAGGACGTGAAAGGGTGTACTTTATGAATGAGGTTTTACTTGCATATGAAGGAGCCGGGAAGCCATCGAAGCGAGTGACCCGGAACAAAGCCCTACTGGGGACGTCCTGAACGAGAAAGTGCATTAGGTGCCAGGTACAGGTTCATAACGCTTTTCTTCGGAAGTTTGTGGGCGAATGTCTGAGAACTCCATTCTTCGCTTCCGCTTGAATGCCACTCCTCATTAAAGAAGACTGCTCAGGGTCCGTCTTTCAAGAGTCCAGGTAACAAAACACTAAGAATTAAGTGGGGAAAACAGTAAAGGCAGCAGTCCATCCCAGGTACGGGAGTCTCAGCACCATGCATTTGGCGATAATATAGATGAGACACTTTGCGTGGGTATCTTTGATCATTAGCCGTTACCACTCCTCATCATTCTGATCGGTACTTCAAACTTGTTGAGGGTTAGTGATAGTTGAAAGAGTAGTAAACTGACAAAGAAGCCTCAAATCCGCTTATAGCGTTTACTCAAAGCCCTAGAGGAGTACAAGAACTCGGAACTTGAGCACGCCACAACTTTGGTAAAAAAGAACAGAACACATTCATCACGTCACTCAAAGTGCGAGGTTTTTAAGAATTATAGTAAAAATCGAAAAAATGACCATTTTGATTTTCACTCCTGTTTATCTCACTGATCGAAAGCAGCTTATGACCGAGAAATAGCATATCGAACAATTTGGTAGCAGCTTTGTCCCTTGCTGCTTGTCGTCTTGAAAATTACAAGTGCCCAACTAACCATGCGGGTTAGGTGTTACCAGGAAAAACTGCCGTTGAAATTTGGTGTACACTTGCTAAAGAGGATCACCATCGAAATAGGGTCATCAGAAGAAGTCGATGATTCGTTTGGTGTTCTGAGAAATCGCCCTCGGTGCCCATCTCATCACGCAGCATTGTTTGATTCATTCCAATACGATTGCCCTTTTGAAGTCGTTCCGTTAAAATTGGACCAGGAAGAGGGTATCAAGAGCTACATTAGCTGTCTGTAAAGGAACGCTCTGATTTCGGGTATCAGATAATCCCAGAAAATCGTGAGACTTGATGGAACCACAAAATGTTGATTTTCAGGCGACAGGGGCCTCCATTCAAGTGGCCTCAGAAATGTTGCCACAATCAACGGAGCGTGCCGTTACGGTGTCCGGGACTGCCGATGCTATCATATTGTGTATGGGACAAGTTTGTCAGATACTTTTAGAGGTATGCCGTTCTTACCATTCGTTTTTACTATGCGAGAGACGAATTTCTCTATATCGCTTCAGTACTTCTGCCAGTCCAAGTTCATTCATCACAGAAACGATGCAATAGCTGGCAAATGCTCGCCTACCTGGAAAACTAATTGGTCCTTTCTGGGAGCGCCTTCTCTAATACACTTTTTCCTTCTATAATCAGGTCTGGGGCAAGGTTTCAGAAGGATCGGATGTCCTGGAAGTAAAAGCGAATCATTTTGAGGGTACAGCGAAATATTGGAGGCTTATTGATCTGTGTTTGATTGTCAGTACAGGATCGGTTTGGAAATGGGGATTATCCAGGGACTGGTGCAAAAATAGAAACATTCCTCATACGTCTTGTTGGTGGGTAACATTTCTCCGGCTAGACGATCATATTGGGGCACAAAGTCAATATTTGGTAATCGCGATTCTGGGAACGAAGACTTCCTCAAATGCGGATGAGGAATTAGATAGAAATTATATCCATTATGCATGTTGTGGGATGTTCATTTTGCAGTTGTATGCGACAAGTCGTCCAGTGTACATCCCAGAAACTACCATGCCTTGGGCGCTAATCTGAAGTGATCTGTTGTGGTCCGTTGTCAGCCCACGTCGTTTTCATCGTCTTCTCGTCATCTTTGAGGCTGAAAATTCCGAGCGACAGCTTTGGTCTTCGAGTGCTCCCAATAAAATTACATCGTCAACGTAATTCTGTTGGAGCGCTCGGCAGCAAAACCATTTCTGCAAATTTCAATGTCTTAAGGAATTGCCTCTTCCGACACTCCAACGGGACTCTAATTAGCGCCAATTGCATAGCATTGTGTGGTTTCTTGGGTAGAATGAATGGGGGCAGTCCTAGCAGGAGGAAAAAACTTTTGAAGTAAAAATGAAGTGGATGCTTCTTTCCTCCTTTGAAGACGATCATCCAATAAGCTCAGTCTTATCAGTAGGACGTAGGTGAAAGTGTTACTGGAGCTGGACTGATGGTTTTTGGGCATAAGCTGAGCACTCCAGCGACTGAACAGTTGTCATATTCCTTAGGCTGTCAAAGCTACTGGAATTCGAATTTGCTTTTGATGCTTGCATTTTTCGGATCAGACGAACCATTGTGAGAACAATTCGAGGAAGATGGCAAAGTTTTCATCATTATAGCGAAATTTGAATTTATTAACCGGTATCGGGAGGTCAGTGGTGGAGGGCCAATTTCAATAAGTTGAGAGGCTCTACGTGCTACGATTTCCAGCAAAGCCCAGGATGTCACACTCCATAATTTTAATTCGCGGGAGGACTTTGGGATGTACCCAAGCTATCCATCGCCATTACGGTTGCCGGAACTTGACAAACACTGAAATAAGAGCCAACAAGTTAACTGGATAGCTGGACACTGGTGATAAATGCGTCCGAATGGGACCGGTGATGGTTTGACACCAACATGACCACATTGTCAAACGAATCGACTGCCTGAACACCTTCTGAACACGCTCGACATCATGTATTGAGGCGCTTTCGAAATCCGCTTGAGAAATTTCTCGCGCAACTGGATTGCGCCATGACCGCAACTACCCGCTAACTCTTTGTTTTGTGAGAAGAAGTAGTGGTCCTTTAGGAATGTTGCGAAACATCGGCTGGGGACTGAATCTGTGAGAAAAGCCTTCCATTTTCGATATACATCACGTTCGGCTCTTCATGAATCTCGAGCTGCAGTTCCCACGCGGTATTTAATGTGTTTTGAAACCCCGGAGTCGGGTCAGGTATTTCCCCTGAATCCCCAGGTGAAAACTATTAGTTCATAGGCCTTTGGATGGTTCTCGACCGATGCCCGCACATGTCCCTAGACACTGATCCTACCCCTAATCCCATTTCCGTCGCTATTTTCAGGCTCCACCGAAAGGCGCCACGTTACCGTACCGACCGAAGCCGACGTTCAACTCGTTGCTCGTGGCCAGCTCAGCAGCAGCGGCTGCTGCTGCTCAACAGCAACAACTGGCCGCTCTGCTTCAACCAGCCCTCTTTCAACAAGCTCAACTCGCTCAATTCCTCCCCTCAGAGGTACGTTCCAACGTTTCGTCGGATTCTTGTGGTGGTGACGATGTTGTAATTCGTGCGTACAGTCGTGGTTGCACTGAATTCGTGTATGGCTATGCCTCGTAAACCCTACGGCTTCGATTTTTTTTCCTTATTTTTTCCAGTTTTTTATTCGCATGATGTTACGCAGATCAGGTAGCTGAACAACTTTCTGTCCAGGTTATCTTTCAAAGGTGTTCATATCCCACTGTGTATACCAGGTGGAAAGCATGAAGTCCGGAGTGTTTTTCAACAACTGTAACCATCCCTCCTACTGTTCAGAGCCTGTGGAGTACGAATGAATGCTCGGAGTAGTTGAGTTTAAGGACCCCTGAACTTTAGTGACTCGTGCATGGCAACCTTTGACGGGTGTGCGTCCCCTCAGTTATGGATCTCATTGATCGTCTGGCCATAGCGAAAAACAGCTGCACTTCACCGCCCTATCAATCTGTAAATACTTTGGCTGTTAGGATGCTTTTACGGTCGTGGCCTTCCACTTCTTTGAGATGGGTTCCTTTACTGAAATAGTACCTTCTTCATCGTTTCTTCACGCCGCCATTGAGAGCAACTTTGCGATAAGATGGGAGTAATTGAAAACATTTGTAAAAAAAAAGTGGTGCAAAAGCCCAAACGAGTTGGAGGGGGTTCGTCTCGTCCAAAAGTCTTGCCACTCTGGTACCTTTGCGGTCACGATTGGAGCCCATGTATTCACTTCTTTTTCAACCAAGAACTTTCTGTGAAAGGCGGTGGAGCGCTGCTGAGAGCAACCAAGGAACCCAAGTGTCAGTATACCAGTTGCACGGCCATACTTTCGCCTTAAGACACTTTATAAACTGCTGTATGGGATAAGTAGGCCACATTCGTAGTCGAGAGAACGACTGTTTGAATGCTGTGAACTGTTCAGAGTTTTGTGAGTGAGCAAGTCGTCGTTGAATGAAATGAATGATCCATACCGAGATTAAATCCATTGTTTTCTGTGTTTTCAGCTGGCACGTGGTGTACCCGCGTCGGCGCAGTACGGGCCGACGTCCGCCTTCTTATCCACTCCTACCCTCAATCCCCAAGGTACAGCAATCAACTCTATCACTCACTCTCACTTTCACCATTTTTGTTCTTTTTGTTTTTCAATTTCATGAACTGCTACACACATGATAAGAACCCTTTGCACATGTGTAGGCAGTTCATGCTCTTCTGTGGGTCGTGCTTGTGGTGTTGGTGGGTCCGGAACGGGCGCTGTCGCAGCGCGATCCGGCTGATGGATCAACGGGTATCGGACTAACACTGATCCCTCTATTGGCCGTTTCGCTGCCGCTCGTGTCTCGAGCTCCAACACCCACATGCACGCCTGACAGGGAGATTGCGTATTCCACTTTTTCAATGTACATTATGGATCTACACTTCAGCCCCAACGGCCGCACATACATGACGCCATACTCTGTCGCCTTGAAAATCGTTCCGCTAAGGTTTTCTTATGTAGCCGATTTGCATGATGGGCTAGTCGTTTTGAGTTTAGCCTCCTCTTGAACTATCCTATTTCCCGTAAGGTGTGATTCGGAGAATGAGCGGAATTTCCTTTTTTGCACTGAATTTTTCGTTGACAGTCAATACTTTCGGTCATGGCGACCTTTTGGGTTTGGGTTCATACGAACTTCAGAAAAACGACTTAATTCTCGGTTTTCGTGGGGGCTGACGGTGGTGAAACCGTGGGTGACTAAACCGAGGGTCGCGCCCTGGTCACAATACATGTGGCCAGACGTTTGGGAGCTTAGGCCCGTGTTTCTGAGAACCTATTTGTAAAGAGAATTTTGTTGATTTCCGCTCATCCCCCAGATGGCCGCATTCATCCCTACTGCTCCAGCCAGGTCCACTGTTGCTCAACTGCTCACATCGTTGCCGCTTTTTCACATCACTTTCACTCTCTAGAAACGCGATGGTCGTGTGTGTGCGTCTGAACCTTCCGGAAGCCTCTCCACCTCTCGGTTTCAACTCCCACACTTCAATCCCTAAGCTCCTAAAAGTCCATGATGTATCGTTCCTATGTTCATCTTTGCATTTCGTCTGAGCGTGTACTTCCTCGCACAGCATACTGAGCCATCTTTTACTGCTAACGTCCATGAACAGCCATGAGAGTCTTATACAGCGAGATACGGTTAGTTCCTTTTTTCAAATATTAATTCTTCCATGGAATTCGATGCTGTCACGCCCTGAACCTGACACTGTTGTCGTTCACGTGGCATTGGCTGCTTTCATAGTTCCCCGTCCAGCGCGCGCGTTCGCCCGTTCGGTCGCGCACGTGCTTTTGCGCGTTCGCGGGCCGGCCGCGGACTATGAAAGCAGCCAGTGGGTCAATATGCTACCAATTCTGCAACAACGATTCGTACCATTTCTGACAAGTGATGTTCCACGGAAACACTTCAGTTCAAAATGCTCGTTTGAGGTGGGGTTCAATGAAATTTGCAAAACAACCCTTCGCGGGATACTACGAAGGTGTTCCCTTCACACCATTCATCCCAGGAGAGTAGGTGGAAGAGTTTGTGCGAAATCGAGAAATGGGCGACGAAACGACAGCACCTTTTTGGGTGTGTATCAAAGAGCACCCGGGTGGCGTGAATCGATCAGGACCGCTCACTGTCTCAAAGGTCCACCGCATTTAGAACCATAGTGGAGGCGTTTCCAGGATCTATCACCTTGGAGATCAAGGCGCAGGAGTTATACCCATGTAAACCCTGGAGGTTTTTGAATACATTATGCCAATCCAAAAATGAATTAGAGGGAATAAGTCTACGGGAACTGAGCTTCATATAACATTGGTGATTTCGCTGGGATCTCGATAAAAACCGAAATTGTGGAGAAATTTGACCGCATAATCACAAACTCTTTGATTTTTTGGAGTTCTGGAGGAGGCGAGACGATTGCAAGACGCCCATTGCTCACTGTATAAACAAAAATGTCATCCAAAAACCCATATGGTGAGCATAGGCATTATGGTAAGCCAGAACACAATTGGCTGTACAAGACCGTTTTACGTCTGAGATGGCCTCCGACTTCGAGGCCATCCACACGCTACACCTTGCTTCAGAGCTTTGGAGTAAAGCACCGCCATAACTCTGCCCCATGAATCGTTTCGCGAATACAAAAAGCAGATTATAGCCTCCGAAAACAGGCACTGCCTTACACTCTCCTCTCCTGAATTGAACCGACGCCTTGGAATTGTGTGATCGGTGGGAAAGTGGAGTGGGAACGTAAAAAAATCGTTGGACAGTGTTTCCATCATTTCAATGCCCAACACAGATGAAAGTTCATTCATACAAGATGAACTGTGCATTTCAAATGAAAATTTGTCACCACATGGACCGCAGCCCCTACGTAACAAAAGTTTCCAGTTTGACTCTTAATTGACCGTATCTCGCATACAGGTGCCCCTCTCATGCTGTTCTCCTAGTTCTCCTAGAAACTTCTAATCATCTCACCCTTCGATAGTACTGTAGCCTCTAGATGCCGATGTCGGGATACATATGTGTCGTTATGCTTTGATGATTTTCAGTGTACGGTGGAGGATTGATCCTGGCCGGTGCCGGCTACCCGGCCGCTCAGCAGCATGCTGCCGCGGCCACTTTCGGTGGCGGATATGGCCAGGACCCGACGAAAGCGTTCGCTGCGGCGGCTGGCCTTCTGACCGACGAACGACAACTTGAACTGATTAATCAGTATGCGGCACTGAACAGCAGGTAGAGACCACTTGGCATCGATGTGACATTCCGTAGCCAAGCTAGTGAAGCGAATTAATATAATAATATATAATAAAGCATTTGATAAAGGAGAAAAGTCAATTACATGAGTAGAATTGTCGAAACAGAATAGATTGCGGGTAACAAAGGTGTAGTTTTCTTGCATGTTCTCTTTTTTCGCATTGAGATAGCTAATTCTTGCAGCCCCTCTGTCTCTAGACACGCTTTGTTTGGGAAATCGCTCAGTTTGAGACGCTTTACAGCCTATTAGTCACTTTGTTTTATGACTTTCACCTTGTCAGCTAATGCAGTGCATGTCCTCTCGACGGGGTCCTTCCTGGAGTGGCAACTGTCGCAATTGCGGATCTTTTTTGTTGGGCACGGCTATGCTACCGTACTCCGATCTTCTAGAGGATATGCACTGTTGCAGTAGAAGTCATTTAACCAGTCAGCAATGTTTACCAACGTTCAGTGTGTTGATGGGTGCACCGCTGCTGAAAGGCTCCAACTCGCCCGCCAGCGCCGCCCACAAAGCAACTGGCGCACGGTTCACTCCTTACTAACAGTGTCGTCGTCGTCGTCGTCGTCGTCAAGTCGTCTGTGACGTCGAGTTCGAGTCCACTTCACCATCACTCTACCACTTGCGCTCGCTCGCTCTCGCTCTCTCACTGAGTCTGTGTTATATTTCTATTTAAAATGTATAGTCCATGTTATCTAATAATAATTTTTATCGTTTCTCTCTGTGTAACATTTAACATACAGACGATAAGAAGAACAAGAAAAACATATAAAGTATGCTCTCAAACAGGGATGCTGCAGTTTCGGAGACGATGACGATACCAGTCATTGTATAAGTTCACCCCAAACAGCCTTAATGTCGTTCCTGTAGTACAGACAATCCACAAAACGAATGAATTTTTCACATTCAAAGAGCAGGTAGAAATGAAAGTCGACCTGTGGAGAGGAGCCCTGATCGAGGTTGAACCATGGCGACATCCTGGAGATGGCTCTGTGGATGATGTGGAAAATAAACGCAAATAAACGAGGTAAGGAAGCAATTCCTGAGCTTGCGTTCAGCCATTCTATTAAAAATCTCTGTGTTTAAGTTTTTGCCAATCACTTTCACCTCAAACTGACAGGAATACGATTCACTTGTGAGGCGGGAAATTCGCCATGAATTTTGTCACCGATCTTCAAACTCGAAGACTCTCAATCTTGCAAACTTCCTGACGAAATGGTCACCCAGCAAGCTGACCCATCCCAAGACTACTATGAGATAAACAGGTTGCAGGTAAAGGATGGCAAAAAATTTGTTTGAATTGAAAACTGTTGAGAAAACAATAAGTGCAACCCGAACACTAGGAGAGTTGTGCCTTGGTAGTCGAAAGGAAACCACTCGGACTGGCGTCCAGGAGGTCGGGGGTTCGAAAACTACGAAGGCTTGCCTTCCAGCGACCATTTTGTACACGTTATGGAATCCGATGTACTTTGTGAAGACTCGGGTTCTAGGTGCAATTCCCCGCAAGCGCAGTGAGTAGGGATCTCGACGCTCGTCTGCAAGAGAAAGAGATCACCTTTCAGGGCCGATGCTTTTCTGCAAAATGCTTCCAGTGTTCCGATTCTGAGAAGCTCAAGAAAGAGTAAGATAAGACGAGACTTATTACGTTCACTTCAGCTGACCTGACTAGCATGAACCACTTAGGTGGTTTCGAGATGCCCGGCGGCCAAGGCTCATTTGAGCGGGTAGTGCCCGCTACCCCCTGATCAGTGCATGTTCAGGTACAGTAGCGCATCGCCGTATGACCTGCCGCTGTTCGAGTGACCGGAGTGGTCGGGGAGCGCATCGATCGAAGCTGTTCAATACGCTGTATTTCTCCCAAATGCGAATCAATTTTCTAGAACCCTCCCGTCAAGTGTTTTTCCCTCAAGGAGCAGTATGAAATACGGTGCCAGCGGTGATGGGGTCCTGTAAACAGCTGTGTTTGGTGGGTCGCGCGAGCGGCCACCTAACGATGCTTGTGTTGATGGAGACACCGTAATCACACTGTTAGGCTTCGGCTTAAGCTCAGGTTTCGTCTTAGGCTTCAGCTTAGGCTAAGTCCTCGGCTTAGGCTTCGGCTTAAGCTTCGGCTCAAGCTCAGGCTTATGCCTGAGGCTGAGGCTTCGGCCTAGGCCTAGGCTTAGGTTTCAGCCTCGTAGGCTCAGGCTTAGCCTTAGGCTTAGGCTTCCTCTTAGGCTACTTCTTAGGCTTAGGCTTCGGCTCGGCTTAGGCTTCTGCCAATACTTCGTCTTCGTCTTAGGCTTCAGCTTAGGGTTAGGCTTAGGCTTCCTCTTAGGCTCGAGCTTAGGCTTAGGCTTCAACCTATACTTCGTCTTCGACTTAGGCTTCAGCTTAGGCTTAGCCCTCGGCTAAGACTTACGGCCTAGGCTTAAGCTTCAGCTTGGGGTTAGGCTTCGGCATCGTCGTAGGCTTAGGCTTCAGCCTGGGCTTAGGCTTAGGCTTC